CAATGTGGAGGACCATGTGGAGGACCATGTGGAGGACCATGTGGAGGCCCATGTGGAGGACTATGTGGAGGACCGTGTGGAGAACCCTGTGGCTCCATTAAATGGAGCCACAGGGTATAAGCATGAATAAACAAATGTATAGCAGCACAGCACTAGAGAAACTGGCCTAACTGTATTAACAATCTGAACTGGATTTGTGGCTGAAAGGCTGTGGAGGACCGTGTGGAGGACCATGTGGAGGACCATGTGGAGGACCATGTGGAGGACCATGTGGAGAACAATGTGGAGAACCATGTGGAGAACCATGTGGCTGGTTCCTACCGTGCGCAGCCCCTGTGCGGACAGCTGAGGGCTGGAGGAGTCATCGGACGATTCGGAGGAGTTGGACCAGGCCGTCCCGTTCTCCAGCTGTGGCCGCCGGTGGTGAATGTTCTAAATAAACGAGAGAAGCACAAATTAAACCGGCACGGCAGAAAGTCGGTGCCGTTAGAAGTCTGTTTATTCAATCTGGTTCTGGTTCTAATGGAGGTTTCTTTCTGGCTTTAATGGAGGTTTCTTTCTTTGATGGAGGTCTCTTCCTGGTTCGGATGGAGGTTTCTTCCAGGTTCTGCTGGAGGTCTCTTCCTGGTCCTACTTGAAGTCTCTTCCTGGTTCTGATGGAGGTCTCTTCCTTTGATGGGGGTTTGTTCCTGGTTCTGGTTTTGATGGAGCTCTCATCCTGGTTCTGATGGAGGTCTCTTTCCGGTTCTGCTGGAGGTCTCTTCCTGGTTCTTCTGGAGTTCTTTTCCTGGTTCTGATGGAGGTTTCTTTCTGGCTTTGATGGAGGTTTCTTCCTGGTTGTAATGGAGCTCTGATCCTGGTTCTGATGGAGATCTGTTCCTGGTTCTTGTTCTGATGGAGGTTTCTTCCTGGTTCTGATGGAGGTCTCTTCCTGGAAGTATCTTCCTGGTTCTGATGGAGGTCTCTTCCTGGTTCTGATGGAGTTATCGTCCTGGTTCTTCTGGGGGTCTTTTCCTGGTTCTGATGGAGGTGTATTCCTCGTTCTGATGGACGTCTCATCCTGGTTCTGGTATCATGAAGCTCCCAGCAATGCATCCATAAAACAAACGTGTCTTAATTGGTATCTTTCAACCAGAAGTGCAGGACAGCAGGACTGGCCGGCTCCTTCTTCTGCTGGAGACATGTCAGAATCAGAATCAGAATCAGAATTGGGTTTATTGCCAAGTAGGTTTACACATACAAGGAATTTGCTTTGGTGAAAGCACCGAGGCAGCCATGGGCTACTTTGGGTACTTTAAGAGACTATTACGAGGGGTGTGGCCGGCGGTGGTGAATGTTCTAAACAAGAGAAGCACAAATGAAACCAGCAGGGCATAAAGTCGATGCCGTTAGAGGTCCGCTTATTCAATCTGGTTGTGGTTCTGATGGAGGTATCTTCCAGGTTCATGGAGGTCTCTTCCTGGTTCTGAAGGAGTTCTCTTCCTGGTTCTGATTGAGGTCTCTTTCTTTGATGGGGGTTTCTTCCTGGTTCTGGTTTTGATGGAGCTCTCATCCTGGTTCTGGTTCTGATGGAGCTTTCTTTCTGGTTCTGATGTAGGTCTCTTCCTGGTTCTGATGGATGTCTCTTCCTGGTTCTGATGGAGTTCTCTTCCTGGTTCTACTGGAAGTTTCTTCCTGGTTCTGATGTAGCTCTCATCCTGGTTCTGGTTCTGCTGGAGGTTTATTCCTGGATCATGGAGGTATCTTCCTGGTTCTGATGGAGCTCTCATCCTGGTTCTGGTTCTGATGGAGATTTCTTCCTGGATCATGGAGGTTTCTTCCTGGTTCTGATGGAGTTGTCTTCCAGGTTCTGATGAAGGTCTCTTTCTTTGATAGGGGTTTCTTCCTGGTTCTGGTTTTAATGGAGCTCTCATCCTGGTTCTGGTTCTGATGGAGGTCTCTTCCTCGTTCTGCTGGAGGTCTCGTCCTGGTTCTGGTATCATGAAGTTCCCAGCAATGCATCCATGAAACAAACATGTTTGTGGCCGGTTCCTTCTTCTGCTGGAGGACATGTCCTGGGCTACTTTGGGTACTCTAAGAGCCTAGTAGGAGGGGGGTGTGCTATGAAAGGCGGGTCACCACTGCTATAGGACAGCTAACGGCTGAGGAAACGGGCTTCGGCCCTCTACGGACCGGAGCTCCAGGAGGCTGGGCGCCGCTACTCTAGTGCAGTGTTTTTCAACCCCTGTGCCTCGGTACACTAGTGTGCCGTTAGTGATGGTCAGGTGTGCAGTAGAAAATCATCCTATTTCACCTAATTGGTCTAAAAAGGTTTTTTGATAAGGAATTAATTATCTGCAAATAATATGCCATTTTTGAGTGTCTGTGCTGTTCTAGTGACTGGTGGAGTAATCATGTAATAATTCCTTATGACTAGATTTTGTATATAATTTTGTATATTGAAGTGGACATGTTAAGTGCAATTTGAAAGAAGAAATATAAAATATGATAAAAATACACTTTTGTGTTTATTTGATTCCTATTCAAGACACTTAAGATAAGATAAGAATAAAATAAGAATAACTATAGTGTAACTATAAGCGGCTACAGATTTGTTTGACATTTTTGGTTGGTGGCGTGCCTCGTGATTTTTTCAATGAAAAAATGTACCTTGGTTCCAAAAAGGTTGAAAAACACTGCTCTAGGGGCTCCCCCTCCAAACCCCACTTACTGCGGAGGGCGGGGCCGCTGCTGAGAGGTCGCTGCAGGGGCAGCTCTGGCTGAGTCGGCCCCTGAAGATGTCCAGCAGCTGCCAGTTCTGCCGTCTGGTCAGACTCCGGGGCAGAGACTGTTCGGTAGAGAGTAGGGGTGGGACGGTTCACAAAATCCACGGTTCGGTTCGATTCACGGTTTCGTGTTCACGGTTTTCGGTTCGGTTCGGTTCGGTATATGTTGATTGTCAGGAAAATCTATTATGTCTTGTATAGTCAGGTTAAAACTGAAAGAAAAAATCAGTCTGACATTTGATACATTATTGTGACAGTCTGAGGTTAACCCTTTAAAGCCTGATCCAAGAATAAAACAAAACAGAAAATTACTTTTTTTTTGTTTCAAGTCTTTACTTGGCCTTTTAACAAAATATGTTAAAAAAATAATAATTTAATATTAATAATTTTTTACTATGCGATAAGTCAAGATTATTTTTTGTGTAGTCTTCTGCCCCCTGTTATCAGGTGTATCTGATTGTGTAAATTAGGATTTTGAGCAAAGTTTTTACCATTAAATTATGCAAAAGGTGTCAGATGCAAAACATTTCAGAAACCGTATGAATCAGATATGACACGTTTGGCATTACAGGGTTAAAAGTAGGTGAGATTCTGGCATTGCACGAGAGGAGACAGTGTTTCTCTTCTTCTTCTTGTTTCCTACTGGTGGTTGGCTTTGGGCGCAGTAGCGCCCCCTTCTGCTCTGGAGTGTAAACGCTTCCCTCTGAGAAAAAGGAGCAGCAGGAACCGAACGCAACACACGCGAACCGAACCGAGACAGAACCCAACGGTTCGGACGGTTTTCAGAAACCGTCCCATCCCTAGTACAGAGGCAGGCGGGTGGGAGGAGGTCAGTCAGAGGGGGCGGGGCCTCTGACCTGAGCCAATGGCCTGACCTCTAGCTAAAAACAAAAAAAACCTCTCTTTCCTTTTTTTTCTCTCCTCTCTTCCTGTTTTAGGAATCTATTTCTTTTTCCCCTTTCCTGTCCCCTGGTCATGGTTGGCATTAGCCATATTACTTATGTAACAAAAATAAATCCTAAATATATAATAAAGCAGTATGGGATGATCAAGGGAGGGTTCTCACCCTGACAGGCCTCTGTGCGCAAAGCAAAAGTTTCGGGCACAGCACGGCACTCAGATTACAATTCTGTTGCCATAATGCCAAACACGAAAAGGGGAAAACAAAACAAAAAAAAACTCTCTTTCCTTTTTTTTCTCTCATCTCTTCCTGTTTAAGGAATCTCTTTCTTTTTTCCCCTTTCCTTTTCCCCAAGTCATGGTTGGCATTAACCATATTACTTATGTAACAAAAATAAATCCTAAATATATAATAAAGCAGTATGGGATGATCAAGGGAGGGTTCTCACCCTGACAGGCCTCCCTGGGCAAAGCAGATTACAGATTACAATTCTGTTGCCATAATGCCAAACACGACAAGGGGAAAAAAAATAAAATAAAATAAATAACCGAGCAGAACCCCGAAAAGAGAGCTACTCACGTAGAAGGCCTGTTCCCGTAACGACGGGGTGTCGGGGGGCGTCTGGTTGATGAGGGTCGACAACCGCTTGCTGACAGTCGGCGCTTTGTTCACCGTGCTGGCAACTGAGCCCTGGTCGTCTTTATCGAAGGGGCTGAGGAGGAAAGATGAAAGATCCATTATCGTAACATCTTATCCCCTAATGGGGTTGGGGGGAACTGGGGTCTATCCCAGTAGCCAAATGGGGAGAGGCGGGGTCCCCCTGGACAGTCCCCAGTCCATCACAGGGACACACAGAGACACACAAGGACCAACAACCACACACACTCACACTAAGGGCAGTTTGGAGTCCAACAACCTAACATGCAGGTTTTTGGACGGTGGGAGGAAGCCGGAGAACCCGGTGAGAACCCACAGACACAGGAGAACATGCAGACTCCACCCAGAAAGGTCCTGGTTCCCCCGGGACTCCAACCCAGAACCCTCTGGTCCTGGTTCCCCCGGGACTCCAACCCAGAACCCTCTGGTCCTGGTTCCCCCGGGGACTCCAACCCAGAACCTTCTGGTTCTGGTTCCCCCGGGGACTCCACCCAGAACCCTCCACCCAGAAAGGTCCTGGTTCCCCCGGGGACTTGAACCCAGAACCCCTCAGTCCATAGTGCTAACCTCCACACCACCATAATGCATCATGTTTATGTAATTTGCCTTTGGAGTGTTTTTCCTTTGTATTTCTGACCGGAGGGCTCGTTTTTACACCCAAAAACACAAAATGACTTACTTCCAGGTGACTTCGAGGCTCAGTTTGATCGTGCCGAGATCGTTGATGTCCACCGCGACCGCCTGTGGCAGGGCAGCAAACAGGTCTTTGGTTTCACAGGAAACGTTTCCCACCACCACGTGATTGGCTAAACTCTTTAGCTCCGTCACCTGGAGAAGCACAGAGACACCCTGTGGTCACCCAGTTATTCACATCTAGACCAGTATCTGGAACCAAAGGCTTAAAGGTCCATTTTGTAGGAATTCCTCCATCTAAAAGGTGAAACTGTATTCTGCTTCCTAACTAATCTGCTCTCTGGTGCCTCCATTTCCAAATGCCTGTTGCAGCTATGCTAGCCGTCAGGCATCAAGAAATGACGACAACATGACTTCCACATCATCCAGTTTTCTCTGGGTGATGAGGTTTGTAATGTAAAAGAAATTAATCTAAAATAATTTATTTAATTAATTAAAAAATGAACTACTTTAAAAGAAATCTCAGTCACGTGACTCTGAAGGAAAACTCGTTGTGGATTAGCTAGACAGGCAGACTAGTGCTTTATGTCCCTCTCTGCCATTATAGTTTTTCAAAATGGCGGATCGCCATGGAAACCACCGTGGACTCACCCATCCTGTGTGCGTACAGATAGGAAATTCTTCGCTTACGATAAATTAGATAATTGCAGAGGTCATTTTACACCAAATAAGGACTCATTTATAAATCAAGGACATGATTTTAGCTAATAAAATACTTAAAATAATACAGTGTCCCTTTAAGGCGGAACAAAGCCAGAACCGGGGCCTCACCTTCACAGACAGGAACTCGTTGATGAGTGGGAGGAAAGCCATCTCCTCGTTGTCCCACACCTGTTTGGAGTTGAGCTCCATCCTCCCCCGGAGCTTCCACCGCTGCCGACCGTACTTCATGAAAATCTGCAGACATCATTCCACACGTCTTTCTCTAAAAGCATCAAGTGTTGGGTGGCAGGTAACTCTAACCCAGACCACACTCTGAGTCCACGTTTTCTCTCGTAAATCAAATTCACACACATTTGAACTGAGCTCCAGGTGGAGTCAGACATAAAGACTGTCAGTGGAGGAACAAAGTGTTTTTCATCTGAGGGTTTTCTGTTTTCGGATCAAGTTTGTGTGGAAATCTGTGGATGAAAAGTTTTCCGTCATTTTTCGTCATTAGACAGAAAATAACTGGGACTTCAGATTTAGTTGACGTGTGTGTAAATTGTATTTACAAGAGAGAATGGCAATAAAACATTGCCATAGTCGCATTGTGTTCATTTTGACACGCTTACTAATGAGTTAGTTAGGAGACTAAATCCCACATTAAGGAAGTGGGAAAGTGTTTTTTAGAATCAGAATCAGAATCAGAAATACTTGAATAATCCCCGAGGGAAATTATTTTTGTCACTAGCTACATATATAAAACAACAGCATATACATATATACATGTCTATACATATATATACAAAATTAGACATAGAATATAGATAAATATATACATAAATAACTATATGTATATATATGGGTCTAAATAAGTGGTGGTGATAATGTCAATAATTAAGTTTGACTCTCAGAGGAAGGAGAGGAAGAAATGTACATTATTAAAAAATTATTAAAAATGTACAGTACTAATCTAGAGTCAGAATGCGGGGCATCAACAGACATTTCTGCTTTAGCGGGAGGTTTTCAGAAGTAATTTACACCTATAACAGAGCGTCAAGTCTTCTGTTAGCGTGAATATTTCTGTATATATTTGAACCGGAACACACTGAGAAAGAGACTAACCTCATACTGATCACCCGCACACAATCTGGCAAATCCAGCAAGACCTGAAAGGCACGTAGAGGAAATAAGAAACAGCTACGAAACCAGATAAGTTCCATTCTAGGAAACTTCTGTTATCTTCTCTCACAATGAGTCATTCAGACGAATATTACCAAACACATCCTGGTGCTGGGAAGCAGCCTCTCTACCAGAAAACTGGGTTTGGACCACTCACCTTTCATCTTAATCTGGAACTCTCCCAGGTGGCTCTCGAACTCGCTCTCCAACACACACATGGTCTACAGAGAAGATTTCATTCGGTCATTTCTGCCCAAAGCTGCTTCGTCCACCACACTGACCCTTTCCCCTCCATACCTCTGTGTACTCCTTGTATCCTTTGTTAGCTTCGGACAAACTCTCCCTGGCCTCCTTGCTTCCTGGAGAGTCTGTGTAGGCCTTCACCATCTTATTGGCTCCATCTCTCAGTCTTCTCTGCAGGCAGTAGGCTTCATAGAGCTCTTCAACCTAAGGAAAAAAGATGAAAAAGCTTAATATTTCAGATTCCTCTCCTATGAAGGAAACCTCAGAGGTCTATTTTTAGTATTAAACCAGTCCATTAGTTAATGTGGACTGTGTAGGAACGTTGTAACACCACCTCTATAAGCACATTTACACCCTAAAGATGAGCTAACCCACAAACATATGCTGGAAACATGACGTCCCACAGGAGGAATCCTATCCAACATAAACGAAACGCTTTTGTTTTCCACTTAATTCCGGTGACAGTCTCCTCCATGGAGAACTTTTTGGACAGTTTAATTCATGCTCAAAACATTGAGTTACACTGGAGGGCCAACGGGCTCCGGGTTTGGAGCAGTTCCTGCTCGGATCCGAGCCTCAATTCAATTCAATTCTATTAAATTTTATTTATATAGCAACAAATCCCAATAACAGTCATCTCATGGCTTTCCAAACAGACCAGGTCTGAAGTTATTTACAGAAGCCCGACAGTAGCCCAGGAATTCTTCGTAGGTTTTATGTCGGGCATTCTTGATTCTCTTATTCACTAATGCGAGCATCACAGACTGAAGTCAAAGGGTAAAGTTTTCGGTAATAGTGTGCCCTGGGGTGAGCGGGAGGAAGAAACCCACGATTTACCGGTTTGTCAAGATTCCATCCCTTATCAGTCGTCTTAAGATTTTAGTAGTGAGTTAGAGAATGAGGAAGGGAAGTGGAAGGAAGAGCTGATGGGGGTAATTCCAGAGCAACTCCGGTAGAAGTGGCCCTGGGGCCAGAACGGGGGACAGTTCTCCTCCTGGTTCTCCTGCCTGGTTCTTGCTGTGTGGCTTCATGTGAAATATCCATGCTTTTTGCACTTCCAATCCGATACCGATCCCAGCCTATCAGAGCATGTGTTAAAGTCTAAAGTTATTTATATTTACTTACTTAGTTGTCAGACTCATGTTGAACAGGGATTTACTCTGATAACAACTTAATGGTTAGGACACAGACCTGTGGGTTAGGAAATGCTAATGCTAATGCTCGTGTGGGATCGGATGTTAAAATCGGGCTCGGTCCAGAGGGAGACCCAGGACCAGTGATGTATAAAGTACTGGAGTAGAGGAGTGGAGTAGAAGTACAATTACTATATAAAAAAACAGACTTGAGTAAAAGTTTAAGTGTTCTTTCACCTTCTGTACTGCAGAGAGATTCGACTCTCGCCTCTTTCTACGTTCGGAACGGGTTTTTGTAGAGGATCGGGAAAGTTACGTGGAGAAAGTGGAAAAAACCAGCGTTGCATTCCAGTGCTGGCTAGTTCCCGCCTTTAAAGTTTCCGTGAGGGTACGTATGAGGAAAAGCTTTTGGTGTAACCGGTTATTAAGAATGGAGGTGAATGAAGATACCGGAGGAGTCGGTGTGATGCTTTTTAAGCTGAGGGAAGGCCCCAGAATGGAGTAGGGCTGTCACGATACTAACATTTTCAATTCGATATCGATACTCAGGAAAATATTCGATACTCGATACCATTTTCGATACCACAAGGTTAAAAACAAAGAACCCAAAATGTAAGAAAATGAATGAATTTTGACAGGTTAGTGTCTTTGGTTTCAAACTGACCTGTTACTGAATTTAGCCGGTGGCCCACATTAATGACCCTAACTCTAACCCTAACCCTAACCCTGACCCTAACCCTAACCCTAACCCTCGAGCCTTCATAATTTTGAGAAATAAATATTTTTTGGTTAAACTTGTTTGGACTTATTGTAAAAACCTATTTAACATCCACTATTTTAACATAATATTATGTACAGAGTTTAATTCAGTGTTTGCAAGATTCATTTCACTATTTTTTTAAATTAATGTCTATATTGCCATGAAGCAATTAGGATTTTCTTGCCTGGGATCTTCCTATTGGTGACCTAATCAAAATGGCCGACTTGGGTGTGGACGGAGTTGGATATCCATCCTTAACTTCATGCAGTATGTTGGCGTGTTATTATTAGCCATTAGCCGCAGCTAGCAATTCAAGGCTAACGTCAGGTTAATGATCATAACATACCTTGCTGAGGTGGAACTCCAGGCGTCTTATGTACCTCTCGATCACCTTAACTTGCTGTCAAGAGAAACAAGAAAACGATTGAACTCTCAATGTCAATGTCAAATTTATTTATATAGCACTTTGACAACAACACAAATTAATAAAAACAAAGTATCAAACACTAGTTCAATTAAATGCCAAGGAATAAAAATGAGTTTTAAGAAGCGATTTAAAACGATCCAGGCTGTGGGCAGATCTAATTTGGAAAGGTAGATTGTTCCATAGAGAAGGAGCAACATCAGAAAAAGCCCCATCTCCTTTCCTCTTAAATCGGGTCCGAGGAACTGTCAGTAAAAGCTGATTATTAGAACGTAGGGTTCTGGACACGGACTGAAATTTTAAAAGTGACAACAACACAAATGAATAAAAGTGTCAAAGTGTCAAACACTAGTTCAATTAAATGCCAAGGAATAAAAATGAGTTTTAAGAAGCAATTTAAAACGATCCAGGCTGTGGGCAGATCTAATTTGGAAAGGTAGATTGTTCCATAGAGAGGGAGCAACATCAGAAAAAGCCCGATCTCCTTTCCTCTGAAATCGGGTCCGAGGAACTGTCAGTAAAAGCTGATTATTAGAACGTAGGGTTCTGGACACGGGCTGAAATTTTAAAAGTTCCAGAAGATACGGGGGAGCTAATCCATTTAAAGCTTTATAAGTTAATAAGAGAATCTTAAAATCTATTCGATAAAAAACAGGGGATCTCTTCCCATTGTTCCCATTCCAGGAGGAACAATGGAATATATCACGCAAACTTACCTTGTCTAGTTCATACAGGAAACCCTGAGGAGGAAAAGAGATTAGTTATCACATCTGCCCAACTGATCTGATCCTTTTATCTGGTTAAACGGGAAACCGGCCACTACATACCAGCCTGGAGTTCCTCTTGGAGTCTTTGATCTGTCTGTTGAGGCTGTCCATGTCCATCTGATGGACCTGTAGGTAAGACCTGGAGACACACAACCACCATCCCATTAAACCAGGGGGGTCAAACCCAAAAACATAGAGGGCCTAAATATAAAACCTGAACAAAGCCGCCGGCCAAGATTCAGTAAATTAACCTTTTAATGCGGAACAAAACGAATTTTGCTTTAACCCTATAATGCCAAATGTATCATATCTGATCCGGTTTCTGAAGTCTTTTGGATCTGAGACTTTCTGCATCATTCAGTGGTAAAAGCTTTGCTCAAACCCCTGTTGTACACATTCAGATATACCTGATAACAGCCAGTAGAAGACTACACCAAAATATAGTTTAGATTTATTGCACGCTAATTTGATCAAAATAATTTTTGTATTTTTTCTTCATATGTTGTTGAGGGGCCAAAGAAAGACTTCAGACTAAAATAAAAAAATCCAATATTCTTCCCATTTTCCTTGGATCAGGCTGTAAAGGGTTAACATTGAATATGGAACAAGCAACTCTTGTTACATTATATATAACTTAATAGTGCAGACATGCTAACTCAAATTTCAAATAAAAAAAACACTTCGATGGTGTTAATTTATTAAGTAAAATGTAAAAACATTTTTTTATTCGCAGCCTTCTGAATTAAATATCTAAATGAAATGAGCTTGTCCAGAAAGCTCCTGTTTCTTTCTTTTGGTCATTTTTGGGCAGCAGCAAAGAGGAGTTTCTGGGTCCTGTCCTGAAAAGCAGCAGGGCATTATGGGAGTTGTAGTATGAGCCGTTAATGGTCTGTGGTGGTTGTATGGTCTTGTTGTCTTTCTCTCTTCTTCCTTTTTTTATTATTTATTTTTTGTCTAAAGGATCTCTCTCCTTTTCACTGCTCTTCTTTCTTCCATCTGTTAGGTTCTGTATTATTGGACACATGTAAGTTTGGTAACAAAAATGAATAAATAAAGCAGTTTTGGGTAATTAAGGGGGGGCTTCTCACTAACAAAACCTCCCCAGGCAAAGCAGTTTTGCTATTCAGATTTCAGTTCTGCTGCCATAATGCTGAACAGGACAAGGTAAATAAAAAATTAAAAAATTAAAAAATAAATTATTTAATAAATAAATAAATAATTGAATAAATGAATAAATAAATAAATAAATAAATAAATAAATAAATAAATACAAAAAAAAATAAACAATTTGGTATTGTCTCGTGGGCCAAATATAATTACAACGCGGGCCAAATCCGGCCCCCGGGCCAGAGTTTGACCCCCCTGCTTTAGACAGAATAAGTGCCGGCTGGCTTTCGGCTGTGGGTTAAGCCCCAGCTGTCAGCGATCCCGCTAAGCTGCCGGGAGCTAACGGAGGCTAATGGAACTAATGGAGCTAATGGAGGCTAATGGAGCTAATGGAGGCTAATGGAGCTAACGGAGGCTAATGGAGGCTAACGGAGGCTAACGGAGCTAACGGAGGCTAATGGAGCTAACGGAGGCTATTGGAGCTAATGGAGGCTAATGGAGCTAACGGAGGCTAATGGAGGCTAATGGAGGTAACGGAGGCTAACGGAGGCTAATGGAGCTAACGGAGCTAATGGAGCTAATGGAGGCTAACGGAGGCTAATGGAGGCTAATGGAGGCTAATGGAGCTAACGGAGGCTAACGGAGAACAATGGAGGCTAACGGAGGCTAATGGAGCTAAAGGAGGCTAATGGAGCTAACGGAGGCTATTGGAGCTAACGAATGGACGCTATTGGAGCTAACGAATGGACGCTAATGGAGGCCGGGCACTCACAGAAGGCCTTTCTTCAGAGCCTCGTACACCTCGTCCAGTCGCTCCGGCTGAGGGACTTTGGGCGGCGGGTTGGACTTGGTGGACATGGTGAACATCCTACTGGCCCTGCTGGACTTCCTGCTGAGACCCGGAGTGTTGAACACAGAGAGGTGCCTGAAAATAAGAGGGAGAGAGCTGGGAAACGTCCAGGCCTCAAACCAGCCTTGGCTCAACCCAGGGCTGCTCCCCAGTCTTTCTATTGTTGCTCGTATTTCTTAGTTCAAAAATAGAGTTTTATTTTATATATTTCACTTGTAGAAAGAGACAATAATCAAAACTACAACTTAAAATTAAAAGTCACACTTTCAACAAAACATTTCACATACCTCACACGCTTAAATCAAATAAACTAAATAAAACACACTCAACAACAACATACAACGCAGCATTTTTAAGTTGATTGTGCACTTTGACGTTTAAGAAACTCTATTAAATGATTCCATACAGTCTCAAACTCCAAAGTCCTTCCCCAGGTTATTTAACCCTATAATGCCAAATGTGTCATATTTGATACATCCGGTTTCTGAAGTCTTTTGGATGTGAGACTTTCTGCATCATTCAGTGGTAAAAGCTTTGCTCAAACCCCTGTTGTACACATTCAGATATACCTGATAACAGCCAGTAGAAGACTACACCAAAATACATTTTTGACTTATTGCACGCTAATTTGATCAAAATAATTTCTGTTTCTTTTCTTCATATGTTGTTGAGGGGCCAAAGAAAGATTTCAGACTGTTTTGCGTCTGTCACCTTTTGCATAATTTAATGGGAAAAACTTTGCTCAAAATCCTATTGTACACAATCAGATACACCTGATAACAGGGGGCAGAAGACTACACAAAAAATAATCTTGACTTATCGCATAGTAATAAATTATTAATATAAAAAATGTATTTTTCTATTTTTTTTTTTAAACATATTTTGTTAAAAGGTCAAATAAAGACTTCAAACCAAAAAAAGTAATTTTCTGTTTGGTTTTATTCTTGGATCAGGCTTTAAAGGGTTAAACATGTCTATACTGTATGTATAGACATGTATATATCTATATGCTGTTGTATTTCTGGAGTTAGTAACAAAAATAATTCCCCTCTGGGATTATTTAAGTATTTCTGATTCTGATTCCTAATGTGTGCTGCCCTTCAGAAAGACAGTGTCTTATTATGCACCATTAACTCATTGGCTGCAAAAGACGTCTATAGACGTCTTTTATGTTTTTCAACGAGAGTGGCTGGGGGACGATCTGCTAAAGCTTGTCCGTAAATATCGGCTTCTAGACAGAGTATGTAGTAACAAACTGACCCTCTAGGGGGCAGTGCCACTTTTGATGGGAGATGAGCATAGACTGTAGGCAAATAAGAAAAAGGTAACGGTTCTATGAGAGAACATGTCGCCGGTGAGACGCACGTCCAGGAAGAACGGAATAAGATAGAAACAATTTTTTTTCCCTGATGAAAGAAGAGAGTCTACTCTTTCTTTTGGTGTGTTCGGTGTTTACATAGTCATAGCACAAACGATTATGTGGCTCTTGAAAAATCAGTCAAAATGCTCCAAAAACTCTGGCAGTATGGGACTCTCTGTTCTGAAAATGGCTGGCAGTCAATGAGTTAAAAAGATGCTTTCATAAGATGTCCATTTTAAACTGAGTTTGCTGAGCGAGGTTTGTTTATATTTGAATGTGCAAAAGAAAAAAGTCTGATAAAGTCTAGATGTGTTTCAGTTTTTGGTGTGAAACTGTGGAATGAATTGGATGATGAATTTAAGTTGTGTCCTTTCTTGGTGAACTTTAAAAGAGCTTTAAAATGTAAAATGATACAATCTTACGTTCTTATGTAGATCTATACATGTACTATGTACTATGTAATCTGAATTTGAAGAAATCCTGGTAGGTTGTAAGGTAAAAAAATAGGGTAGGCAAGAATAAGCTTTGCTTCGGCCTATTCTTTTTTTTTGGTAAACTGTGGGTTTGTCTATTGTTTTTTTCTTTTTTTCCTTTTGTTGTTTCTTGTGTTTAATGTGGACAATTGACCAAAATAAAGTGAAAGTGAAGTGAAGTGAAGTTTAAACTGTTAGTGGGGCTGCGTGGGTCAGGTGGGGGGGGTGGGGGGGTGGACGCACCTGTAGGGCCGGTCCTGGGTGTTGACTCCGGTGAAGCTCTGGCTCCTAGTGATGGCCCTGGAGCTGAGCCTTCGGACGGGCCGCACAGACAGAGACATGGTGGACAGGGCTCGAGACGGACTCCCTGTGGGGGGCAAAAAGCAAAAAAGCTGAGCTCAGCTCATCAACGCCTCGTTCCCAACAGCCGACCAGCGTTTTGACCCAGAGAGGGGTCAACAAAAAGGCAAAGCACTGTACAGAACAGACCCAAAATGTAACTCTTAAATTGGTTTAATTGAATCCGTGTCTTCAAAAGCTGAGGAATTAAATGGAAAGTTGTGACTAGATTCTTTAGAACACCAGCTATATCGGCTTAAAAAAAAAGGCAAAACACTTTACAGAACAGCCCCAAAATTACACTCTCAGGTTGGTTTAATTCAGTTCAGTTCAGTTCAAGAGTTTATTTCAAACCTGCACACACATTTTAGAATACATATAGTGACAAACAATACAAATGCATGGCTTGAAAAGGGGATGGAAGAAGCAAAAGCTTATGCATGTCCAATCCCCTCCCGCTCATCCCAGGGACACTCAGGAAGACCTGTAAAGAAAACACAAAGACAAGACAAACAACACCTCCACACTCATGCATACAGGACACAGAGACAACCCACTGGCCCAATGCTCCCCGTCCCTACACACTCACTCTCTTCCAGGTATTTACTAAGGACATTCTGCTCAAATATTTTTTTTGAACCGGTTTATGTTTCCACAACACTTATGTTCCTCCGCTAAACTATTCCAGAGGGTAACACCACGTTAATTGAATCCTTGTCTTCAAAAGCTGAGGAATGAAAGGTTTTCGTGTACCGTGAAGGTGTTAGTCCCCCTCCCCCTGTGTTTTTAGGGGGAGGGGGGTCCTCTGTAGAAGAATAGATGCATAAGGCTTAGAACAGGAAAAGAATAGCACCTGCTCTTAACCGTGTAATGCCAAATGTATCATATTTGATTCATACGGTTTCTGAAATGTTTTGTGTCTGACACCTTTTGCATAATTTAATGGTAAAAACTTTGCTCAAAATCCTATTGCACACAATCAGATACA